AGGGAGAAAGGGTAAAGTTAGTTTGAGCGTTTATGACTACAAGCATAATGGAAAGTTTATACAAGCATATGATACAAACGGTAAGCGTGTTTCATTAGCTTTGTCAAAACTTACAGGTATAAACTATGACAGTGATTTTGACCTATATGAAGAAGAAAGTGAGTCAGAAGATTATGAGCTGTTATATGAAGCACAGCAATGGGAGGAGTTGCAATACTTTTGTAAGTGAGAACGTTTATTTTTTACATTAGTGAAGTCGTTTGTGAAAACGTTAGTGAGGTGAAGTGGTTGGCGGCTTTGTAAATATTTAAGGTTAAGTTAGTGTTGTCGTTTGTGTTGTAAAATATACGTTAACGGTTTCGTAAAGTGTCAAATTCACATAACAGGGGTATGGTGGAACGCAGTGCCGTCGTACCCTTGTTATGTATACTAACTATCGTTAAATCTTTGGTTGGACACCCTCTGTTTTTCTAATAACGAGATTGGGACAAAGTTGCAATTCGGCACTTTTTGTAAAAAATGGGGTCATACTCATAATGAATAGAGACTTAGAGCCAAGTCTTGATATCATGCAGGGAGAAGATACATTGATAAGCAATTATATTTTATAGTAGTAGTATTCAGAAATTCTTACAATTTGCAATACAATTTTCAAAAATGGATAAAGACTTATAGCCAAGTCTTGATATCATGCAGGGAGAATATACATAGATAAGCAATTATATTTTATAGTAGTAGTATTCAGAAATTCTTACAATTTACAATACAATTTTCAAAAATGGATAAAGACTTATAGCCAAGTCTTGATATCATGCAGGGAGAATATACATAGATAAGCAATTATATTTTATAGTAGTAGTATTCAGAAATTCTTACAATTTACAATACAATTTTCAAAAATGGATAAAGACTTATAGCCAAGTCTTGATATCATGCAGGGAGAATATACATAGATAAGCAATTATATTTTATAGTAGTAGTATTCAGAAATTCTTACAATTTACAATACAATTTTCAAAAATGGATAAAGACTTATAGCCAAGTCTTGATATCATGCAGGGAGAATATACATAGATAAGCAATTATATTTTATAGTAGTAGTATTCAGAAATTCTTACAATTTACAATACAATTTTCAAAAATGGATAAAGACTAATAGCCAAGTCTTGATATCATGCAGGGAGAATATACATAGATAAGCAATTATATTTTATAGTAGTAGTATTCAGAAATTCTTACAATTTACAATACAATTTTCAAAAATGGATAAAGACTTATAGCCAAGTCTTGATATCATGCAGGGAGAATATACATAGATAAGCAATTATATTTTATAGTAGTAGTATTCAGAAATTCTTACAATTTACAATACAATTTTCAAAAATGGATAAAGACTTATAGCCAAGTCTTGATATCATGCAGGGAGAATATACATAGATAAGCAATTATATTTTATAGTAGTAGTATTCAGAAATTCTTACAATTTACAATACAATTTTCAAAAATGGATAAAGACTTATAGCCAAGTCTTGATATCATGCAGGGAGAATATACATAGATAAGCAATTATATTTTATAGTAGTAGTATTCAGAAATTCTTACAATTTACAATACAATTTTCAAAAATGGATAAAGACTTATAGCCAAGTCTTGATATCATGCAGGGAGAATATACATAGATAAGCAATTATATTTTATAGTAGTAGTATTCAGAAATTCTTACAATTTACAATACAATTTTCAAAAATGGATAAAGACTAATAGCCAAGTCTTGATATCATGCAGGGAGAATATACATAGATAAGCAATTATATTTTATAGTAGTAGTATTCAGAAATTCTTACAATTTACAATACAATTTTCAAAAATGGATAAAGACTAATAGCCAAGTCTTGATATCATGCAGGGAGAATATACATAGATAAGCAATTATATTTTATAGTAGTAGTATTCAGAAATTCTTACAATTTACAATACAATTTTCAAAAATGGATAAAGACTTATAGCCAAGTCTTGATATCATGCAGGGAGAATATACATAGATAAGCAATTATATTTTATAGTAGTAGTATTCAGAAATTCTTACAATTTACAATACAATTTTCAAAAATGGATAAAGACTAATAGCCAAGTCTTGATATCATGCAGGGAGAATATACATAGATAAGCAATTATATTTTATAGTAGTAGTATTCAGAAATTCTTACAATTTACAATACAATTTTCAAAAATGGATAAAGACTTATAGCCAAGTCTTGATATCATGCAGGGAGAATATACATAGATAAGCAATTATATTTTATAGTAGTAGTATTCAGAAATTCTTACAATTTACAATACAATTTTCAAAAATGGATAAAGACTTATAGCCAAGTCTTGATATCATGCAGGGAGAATATACATAGATAAGCAATTATATTTTATAGTAGTAGTATTCAGAAATTCTTACAATTTACAATACAATTTTCAAAAATGGATAAAGACTATAGCCAAGTCTTGATATCATGCAGGGAGAATATACATAGATAAGCAATTATATTTTAGTAGTAGTATTCAGAAATTCTTACAATTTACAATACAATTTTCAAAAATGGATAAAGACTAATAGCCAAGTCTTGATATCATGCAGGGAGACTCTCTACAAATACAAAAATTGATTATCATAAGGAAATACAAATTTATCAATTTTCATGTGAAAATTACATAAATTTGTTCTCCAATAAATAGCAATAATACTTTGAATGTTATATTAAGTAATATAGCTTCAGGTAAATAAGCTTACACTTCAAAAATATACTGTTTATTCATTAATTTTAAAAAAAGTCCAAATTATCTAATCTTGCTTACTCTTCCTTTAAACTTCTTTGTGCCAAATTTAATATTGCCTTCAAAGATGGAATAAGGACATTAGGTTCAATCCTTCGGCTTTCGACAATTTCCAAAATGTGTTGAATTAATTTCAAACATTCATCGTGTTTTGAAGCTCTTTGCTCAACAATCTGATTACCTGCCCTTGTAAGAATTCTTACTGCTCTTTCTTCATTCAAAACATTAGCGACTTGAACCTTAATAATCGCATTTGGAATCACAACAGTGATGAGAGTTATGACGATGTCATCAATGCGCTCATTTTTCTTACCCAAGAAAAATGTTTGCTTTAATTGATGAAAGTGTGATTCCGCAATGTTATTCGTGGAATCACCTTCTCCACGATATAACATCATCCAATGTTCTTTGGTTCTTCTCCATTGTTTATCGAAATACTTCAAAGCGCGCGGTTCTTCTTCTTCTAACATTGTTGTCAAGAACTCATATGTTTCATCAGACTCTTCAGCCAGCTTTTCTGCATTCGTTGCATCTGCACGTAATGTCAAAAAGTCCATTGCTAAATAGAAGTTCTCAAAATTCTGTGGATTGTCAAAATAGCTTCCAACTTTTGCACATGCGCGTAAAACATGCACAGCGCACCAACTGAGCTGCGCAAGAGGAAATCCGTCCTCAATTGCGCGAGCAATGTTTAGCGCACAGTCAGCGCTCCAATGCTGTGGATCCAGGTGCGCAAACTCACAGAATTTCACCAAACATTCTTGAATTTTTTCAGATGTCTGAGGGTTCACTAAAAAATAGCAAAAGGGGAAAATTGTGTTTTGACTTGTTTTCATTGTTACTGCAAACAATTGGATCTTTCCTTTAATTAAAGAATGAGTGGAATCGACGTGGAGAGGGTTATCAATGCTATGCACCAATTCTTTTGCAGCAAAAGGTGCATATATGATTGTAAACTCGGAAAAATCTCCATTGTAATCAAATTGAACGAGATCATCTGGGCACTCTTCCTGTAAATTATTCAAAAATGCTTCCAAAGAAGTGTAAGGATCGTTTGATAATCTTTGTGCAATAATCTCATCAAGGCGATAAAATTTGTGCTTTAAAGCATCAGTAGACTGCGCGAAAAGTTTCATCGTTTCTTTGTTATTCGTATCAATTCCGAACTTATCAAAAAATGCTTTTTGAGCAAGAAATTGCTTTCCACCGTTTTTAATATAAAGTTCGATCCATTTTTGATAAAATTTACTCGCGTAATGTGAACCCATTTCAACTCCTATATGATGGCAATGTTCTTCATTAACTTTGCTTATAGTAAACACTCCATTTTGTTCTTCAACCCTAAATTTTGCCTTGCATAGGGGATACGAACATGAATAAGTGACATATTGCTTTGGAGATCCCGTTCTTCTTCTGTATGGGACACCGCCCTTGACTTCCTGTTTAATACCAAAAGCAATAAGCTCCTCTAAGTCCACCGAAATCATAAAAATGAAGTGATTTTGAAAAGAGTTAACAAAATTCAAATCACATCAAAAACAAAAACACATAAAAAATATTTTATTATACTCATTCGAAATTAAAAATAATAAAATTTATATATATTAATTTCATTAAATCAAGGTTAAAAATCTCACCGGAAAAATAACCTCAGTGTGATAAATTTATCACCGGAAAAATTTACAATAAGGTTAATACCGAAAATATTGAAAAATCAACATTTAAGGTTAATTTAAGAGTATGCGCTTTTGTCACCTACTCTTCTGATAACGAAGAGGAATCGTGTTTTCCATGTCATTTTTTGAGGTTAATCTGGGATTTTAGTAGCAGAATCATCCATGTTATACCATGCAGATAGCTGATTATCAAATATTAAAGAAAGATTGAGGGACCTTTAATTAACAATGATGTATTATCGAAGTGTTGTATTTGATACTAATGATCCATTGATATTTTCTCTTGAATAATGAAATATTGAAGCAATTTAAATATAATCAATCAATTTCAAGTGCTGAGAACTTAGAATCCAATTATGAATGATGCCCATACGAAAATAACATCGGAGACACATAACACAATTCATAAAAATTTAATTTATTTAAAAAAAAAACAATATTATTAACTTATTTAGAATACACAACTGCCGAGCAGAAATATATATAATTATGAATCAATTATTTTGATAAATCATATTTTGCTATGAGATGATAAAGTGATATTGCTGTATTGAGCATGTTATCTGACTTTTTAAGTTCTTCGATGATTTTAGTGCTAAATTCGCAGTTAATTGTTTTGACGAATGTAACAAATAATAAGATATCTCTATCTGGGCCGAATCTAACAGCAATACCTGCAAAACCAGACTGGATATAATCTTGAAACTCTTCTGGTTCCCAGAAACCGTGATTTCGGGCTAATATTGTTGCAAGAATCTTTACGTTTTCTTTTTCGCCAAGCTCTGGATCAAAAGAAAGTGGCTCGGAGGCTATTTCAGTGAGATTTACGAACATTGTTAGAAATGAAATCGATTTTTTGTGGAAAACATTCACAAAAATTTTGAATGAATATCAAAAATTTTTGATAAAATGGAATTCTGATATTCTGAAGCTTCATTTAACACAAATTTAGGCTTAAATAATGATGAAACCCATTCTAATGCAAGTAAAGACTTTATGTATGCGTTGAAGTTATGAAAATTTACCATAATAATGAAATTTTTCATGATTCTGCAAAATTTCGCCACAAAATTTATGGCACTTTTTACTGGCGCGCCCGTAAAAACTATAAATTTATAAATTTTCTGATTTTAATGTTGTTTTAGTGATTACTTATGAACACTAATTGGAAATCGGATTGTTTATCATCTTTTTTAATTTGATTTCATATTCTCTGGTTTGAGTAATTATGATTATAAGTATATGTAAGTTCAATGAATACAGAAGTATAAGATCATAAAGAAATCATTTTGTAATGAATGTTCCTAGGAAAGCAATCTTCAGAATTTTACAGGTTTCGTGTGTTGTTTTAATCATAATTGGTTTAATATCCATATTAATTTTCTCTAGTGATAATAATCCAACCAATATTACTGACTCATCTTTCTTTAGTTTCAAAATCAATACATCAATTAACACAGAATCAATTTTAGAAGTAAATCCTAACGAAACAGCATTATATCTTAACTACTTTGACACATATCCATGTCCATATTATTCAGATCGCGCAGATTTAATTGCTCCAGAAATTAATAGGCTCGCACAGATGATGAGAGCATTTGGGATGAAAATAATATTCCATACTTTAACAGAAAAACCTTCCGAAATTACTGCAAATATTCAAACTCCGGAAACTGAATTAAATTTAGAGAAAACCTCACCTAATTTACAAGATAAATGCTTGTATACTGATTTTGATAAAACGCCAGCTCCAAGCAATGGATCTATTCATCATGATATAATGTTTTCCTCAAAATCTGATTATTTTGTTAAAGATCACAATGATGGCGTTAAATTAGCACATCAACTCGGAATCAAATACTTAATCGTTGGCGGAATGAGATGCAATTACTGGCTTTTACCTTTCTTCAGAAACTTGAAACTGAATAACATTCAACCTATTTATATTTACGATCTATCTGATGTTGCATACTTTAGAGAGGCGCAAGTTAAACAACTTGATACACATACTAAAGCTCTTATTCATTTTTGGACAATTATCGTGAACGAATTCAAGATGGCAGTCAATCATTTTGCATTGATTGATCGTGCTTCGAACCGTAATCCACCAGTAATTAAGTTTGATGGAAATCTTCAAGCTTATTACTTTATGGAGTTTTACAATTACAGAGAGCTCTAATCTAGCTTATTCACTCATATTATTTTCTTTGTTTTATACAATCTTCGATAAAATATTGTCTTTTCTCATATGATATAATTTTTAAAATTCTCTTTATTTTCTTAAGTTATACTAACAATTTGTAATCTTTTATTCCATAGATATAAGCTCTTAATAAAATAACAAAATTCAATTTCATCATAACAGACTTGTTTGATATACCATGAATTAATATAAATCATTATTCATGGTATATCAAAATGGCTCCGAATTTAGAATGCATGAGATAAGATATTTGGAGTGTTTTTGAAGCACCAAGTTTCGACGACAGGGGAAGTTTGGTCATTCACTTAATTTTTTTTATGTCTAATTTAAATCTTGATTTTCAAGCATCAGCCCAAAATATTCGGGAGTACATTGATAATGAGACACTGTTCGACCTTTTTGAAGCTGATGCATTACAAGAAATCCTTGATCTAAGTTCATTAAACGTTTCCGAATTCCAAAGTTTGGTTAAACTCGGTAGTGAGAAATATAAATCAGGTAAACTCTATCCAGTCATTAAAGGAGTTAAGATTTCAGATAAACCAGAACCTAAAAATGCAATTTTGCTTCTTCAGATTATTCGTAAAAAGCTTCACTTCAAAGCATTAGATTTGGCAATCAAATGTCTTGAAAACAGTCAAACATTGTCTAATCAAATCAATCAAATCAAGCTCCAACTTAATTCAAACCCTGAAAATGCAATGAAAGCATTTGGATTCACTGATTTCGAAAGTGTTTACAAGCATTTCGAAACTCTTTGTGATAAAGATGATATAACATCAATCCGTCTTTGTTGCATTGCTGGTTTAAGCGAAGTCAGAGACACGAAATCTGGTAGAACTATTCTTATTTATTCTGCATATAAGGGCAATGGTAAACTTGTTCGATATCTTGTTGAAGGAGGCTGCAATTTGAATGCAGTCAACAACAATGGGAACAATGCAGTTATTGTTGCTGCTGGTTTCAGTGATGTGGAAACTGTAAAATTTTTAATTGAAAGTGGATTAGACAAAAATTCACGCAGTGAGAAATTTGGATTATATCCAATAACTAATGCTTGCTGGGGAGGTAATGTTGATATCATTAAATATCTTCTTTCTATTGGATGTGATGTAAACTCAGTTGATAATGACAAAAAATCATGTTTGCTGACAGCAGCAGCTAATGGTAATTTAGATGCAGTGAAATTATTAATTTCTCTTGGTGCTGATAAGAACATGAAGGACAAATATGGTAGTAATGCAATTGTTCTTGCATCAATTAACGGTCATACAGAAATTATTAAATATCTTCATTCTATTGGATTTGATGTAAACTCAGTTGATAATGAACAAATTTCATGTATGCCTAATGCCGCAAGTAACGGTAATTTAGATGCAGTAAAATTATTAATTTCTCTTGGTGCTGATAAGAATATGAAGGACAAATATGATAGAAATGCAATTGTTCTTGCATCAATTAACGGTCATACAGAAATTATTAAATATCTTCATTCTATTGGATTTGATGTAAACTCAGTTAGTTGTGATCATCACTCATGTTTGCTGATGGCGGCAAATAATGGTCATTTAGATGCAGTAAAATTATTAATTTCTCTTGGTGCTGATAAGAATATGAAGAATAATTATGGTAATAATGCAATTGCTCTTGCTTCAAATAATGGTCATACAGAAGTTGTTAAATATCTTCATTCTATTGGATTTGATGTAACCTAAATTGATAATGAACAAATTTCATGTTTGCCTTTTGCCATAATTAATGGTCATTTAGATACAGTAAAATTACTTATTTCACTTGGTGCCAAAAAAGATCATATTGGCAAAAATGGTTTTGATACTCTAATGTGGGCTTGAGAAATATAACTAAAGATTATATATATACAAAGTTTATTTCGCATTTCATTCGTCAAAGTCATTACTTTCTTGATTCCTCTTTTCATTATTTGATCATTGATATATTATTTATTGGCAAAATATAATGGGATTATTGTGCTTATTATAATGTTATAGTTTAAGCTTCGATTGATAAAAACGTTATTTTGGGGAAATTCATGTCACAAGTCGGAAAATCTAAACAATTTTTTTCAATTAAAATTTCATCAATGCGAGCATATTCACCTCCCAATTTTACACCTTTGCTTCCACGTCAGTTTCAAGCTACATATAAACCAGGTAGTATGCTTGCAACATTAAAACCTCAAGAGAGAAAACTTGGATCTACAAGTGCTATTTGTTCTGTATCAAATATTCAAATCAATCCAAAGTTAGTTGCCAAACATCAAGCTCAAAAGCAAAGAAAAGAGATTTTAGATTGGCTTTCTACAGATAATCCGCCTGCAGTTGATTTACTCTCAAAAGTTTCAAAATGCGCAACACCTTACTCAAAATTATTAACAGAATCCGTTGAAGAACTAAGTTTTATTCATGCTCCTACAAGATCTCAAAAAATTGATGATCTCGAGAGAGAATCAGCTTTAAACTCAGCTAAAATGGAAGTTGAGATTCAACAGCAACAAGAAAAGCTCACAAAAGTTAAAAATGAAAAACAACAACTTCTCGACAAAATTAAAAAAGCAAATGCAAGGCTTGATAAAGTCAACAAAGATGTTTCTCTATTACAAAGTCTATTTGTTTACCAAGGAATCGATAATTCTTCAGAATCTAATAAACAACAAGTTATTCTCAGTGAAGAAACATTAGAAAAGCCAAAACCTGTATTAGATCAAGAGTTATACCGAGATCTTTGGAAAACTCGTCAAGAACTTTTGGATCAAATCGAAGAATTGCAGAAAAATCTTACAAAAACACAACAAATGCAGGTAGAAGAAATGCAAGCTGTTTGTCGTCGTAGGGCCAAAGCTCAACTCGCTAGAACTGGCATTTAGTTTTGTTTTAATATTTTTTACCAAATTTTTCTTTGTTTGTATATTAAACCTTTCTGTTTGTAGTAAAATTCGCTTTTCAAAATCATATTTCTTGGGTGAAACTTCAAATCTGAAATAAATTTTCAATACCAAAGATCTTTTTCTAAATAACATAGATAAAAATCATGTTATAATAAATTTCTATGCATTATTTATCAAGAATTTTTAATATATTGTTAAGCTTTATTATAAATTTTAGAAGTTTGAGACCTCTAATTCTGTATTAATAATAAATAAAAGTTCTATCTTTATTGTGCATTCTTCATCTCCTTGAATTTCATATTGAGTTTGTAGGAGTCCTCCTTCATCTGTTGCTTGTGTGCTTCAATTTCAGCTTCTGCACGCTGGACAGCATCACGTTGAACTTCTGGGACCTTTGTGTAAAGATCAATGTTCTGAGCGATATCGAATAATTTAGCACGTGTTTCGATGGCTGCAGCTGTTTGCATACGGCGCTCCCAGTGAGCCTCTTCACGTTTCATACGGATTTCATCAATAAGGCGCATTGTTCTGAGTGTTGTAGCGACAAGATCACGATCGTATTTGACTGGGCGATTGCAGCGTGTTTCAAAATCATAAACATTATCAACTACAAGATCCTTACCCATAGCAGCTCTAAATGCTTTAGTCCAACTGAACTTACGTGGGTTCTTCTTCTTCATCCAGAATTTACGACATTTCGATTTGCAGAAGCGAAAAACTTTGCAATCATTACGCACATAGACAGTGCCGTGGCCTGGCCAAATTGGACCACCGCAGAAGGAACATTTCTCAATGCGCACCATTTATGTGTTTTGAAGGATTTATTACGGTTTGGGGACACTCTATGCACTTGAGATTTTTTAGTTGCAAATATTAAAATTATCTTGTCTAATGTGTGTCAAATATATTTTATGGTATAATTTAAGGGCTTATGCATCATCAAATGATTCTTGAAATTTCAAAATGATTGCTAGAGAACCATCAAGTAAGTATATAGCATGCTATTGCCTTTGCTCAACTGTTCGATCATTTTTATATGAATAATGAGAGATTTTTGATGATATATTCTTGCATTTCTTTGAACCCTATATCAAACCATTGTGCAAATTGATAGGCAGGCGAAATAATCAGATTAAACTCATAAAAAAAGCTTAAACACGGTTTTAATTCTGACAATTTTGAAAATTTAATATTTAATATTGATATTAAATACATTCGTATTTTGAAATTTTTAGGGATTTGTTTTGATAAAAAACGGTTCATATTGAAAAAAAAATATAAATGACAATAAATATTCTAATTGAAGACAAGTATAAATATGCTTGGATTGTAACCTCAGTCAATTTAAATTGAATGACCGCTTTTCATAATAAATTTTTTAATGTATTTGATTGTTCCCCTTTTCATTGGACGCTTTTGTAATCATAACGAAAATGAACAGGCTCAAATAGACAAGAGTAAAATCTTGTTAGAAGAAGATTACAATTCATCACAATACACTTGGGGAAATATCAGAATCCAACTGGATACTAGCCTATTATATCGCGAAGATAATGACAAATACATATGTAAGAGAGTCGGACAAGTAATAAATAACTTAGAATGCCAAGAAAATGATATATTTACCTCAGAAAAAAGAAATGCATTAGTAAAATCGTTAGAGAGCATGAAAGAATTCGCCGAGAGAACATTCAAAGTTCGGCAAATACCAAATAATACTTTTGAAGTTTCATATCAAGTTTACGGTTTCGAACCAAAAGAAGTATCTAATGTGGATTTGTACATATACATAGTTCCAGTAAATACTAAAGAAGAACAAATTCATGCTTCTGCGACAATATTTAGTTACGAGTATCCATCTAAGCGTGCAAGAGAAGGAGCTATCAAATTTAATTCAAAATTGTTACCTACTTCACCTGTTTTATACAATACATGGGAAAATTCTTTCTTTTACACGTGTTTGCACGAATTATGTCATTTATTAGGATTTACTAAATCTCAATATGACTATTTCCATCCAGTCGATAGTTTTACTCCATATTCTAATCCATTATGCACTATTACAAGAAAAGGAAAACAATTTACCTTTTTAACAACTCCATACTGTCATAAGTTCGCTGTAAAACACTTTAACATGGAGTATTTTGAAGGAGATAATGGAGAAAGATGTCTTTCTGGAATTGAACTCGAAGATGGAGATGGATCTCAAAATAGTCTATCACATTTAGAGACAAGAACATATATGACAGAGTTTATGCTCCCAACTGCATTCACCAATTACAGATTTAGTCGGTTTACTGATGCTACAGCAGCAGTTTTGCTTGATACAGGAAATTATATCATAAATTATTCGAATCTCCAACCTTTATTATGGGGAAACAAAGAGTCTTTTGATGGAGTGACCTATATAAAGAACTTTCCAATAGATCCTCCTCAAAAAGTTTTTCCAGAAAATTATATTGTCAAAGATGAAGATGGTTTGGAACCATGCGGCTTTGATTATAAGTTCTTTGGACTTGTTTATGATATACCAGCTCCTGATTGTTCGAAACCAGCCACTTCTCAAGCAAATTTCAACATTTCTGAAGGCTACATCGCAAAATACTGCCAAGGAAAAGACTTTTACAATCCTAATGACGAGAAATCAATACATAATGGTACACTTTATGCGGATTTCACAAGATTCAAGTTCCCACAGGTTACTTGCCCTGAAGGAACAGCAACATTACCTTATGTGAACCAGTGTTTGAAGTACAAATTCATAAGTGATGACGAAATCAAATTTGAATCGACATCTTTTGACTTTTCATGCTACAGAGATTCGAACCCGGACAAAAAGCGTTGGGTATACACGGTTAAATACAAATGCCCTGATTTTGAAAGGTTTAAACGAACAGTTCAGTTATATGATTCGTTTTTTAACTCAGATCCATTCAGTGATGATGGCACAAAGTACTATTACAATGCAAATGTTGACAGCAGGACAGTTGATATGACTCCTGTTCCTACTTTACCTTTAATCAATAAAATCGTTTTCCCGCTATCGATTTCTCTCGGAATCTTCTCATTCATATTAATCATCGCCATAATTTTCATTAGTTTATACAAATGTGGCTACATTTCGTTTAAACGCGGAAAAAATTCTGATGACGAATCTTCATGGGTTCCTCAGTCTTCTACAACAGAATCTTCAGGTGAAAACATTGATGAAGATAAAGAATATGTTATACCAGGAAGAGAAGAAGTTTGAAACCAAAATTATTCATAATAATTTTAATATTTGTTTATATTAGCCTGATCTGGTAAAAATACCAGATTTGTAATACTATTCATTGTTATTGTTTATAATAAATTATCATGTTTGTTATATTTTTTTAAATCAAAGTTCTTTTTATATAATCATCACATCCACCATACATAATTCTCGAGTAACAAAGAATCAAGACACTGTTTCAGTTAAAATACAAAATCAAATTCCAAATATCTCCAGATATGTAATATTTTGCCAAAATAACCAATCCTTTTAGTTTTAAATGCGCATTCCATAAAGAATATGAATTCCAAATAATATATTATATATTGAGAAAGAATGATTTACTGTACGTTTAAAAAACCGTTGATAAATTTTTAGGAAAAAAAATGATTGAAGAGGAAAATGGCGGGCCTCCATCTAACGCGCCATTCCTAGTTCAAATGTATAATATTAAAGAACCAAACTACACACCAAAGCAACCAGATGAATTCAAAAGAGAAGAGAAAAATAATTCTGAATTATCAAATCACAGTAAAGGATCTCAATTAGATAAACGAGCTCCAAGAAACTATCAAAATCTTGAACCAGCTAAAACAAGACAAAGGAGAAGACGTAGGAAGCAAGATTTTAATCCACTCGAGTTCATGCTTGATGAAAACTCATCAAAAGCTTCAAAAATTGCTACCAAGCTCCTCTTTGGAGGAGTAATTGATGAAGAAGTTACTCCAGACATATTTACTATTGTTATTAAAGATCTTGAGCATAGAAGAGATGTATTTATGCTTAAAGGAGCCTTTCCAGAATCTCTTAAAGCATCAGAAGCAATAGATATGGCCAAACAACTACAAATCAACGCAATCAAAAAGCAAACACAAGAATACGAACTTGCTGATGTGAACTTAAGGCAAGGACACATGGAAACAGATGCTGCTATCTTTAATCATATATCTCGTGCAGAATTTAATGAAATTCGTGAGAAAAACAAAAAGATTATTGAAAGAATGCGAGAAAGGCACAAAAGAGAGCTAGAAGAACATGAAAGGAAGTGGAAAGATGATAAAATGCAGAGAAACTACAATCACAGGTCTGCCAAGCTCCAAGAGCTTTATTCTCTTGAAAGAAGATTACATGCTGTTGGAAGAACTGAAGAAGCGAATACAATCAAGAAACAAGCGGAACAATTAGAAGCAATTGAATACGAAGCAAGTAGACAAAGGTTTGAAACTGACTATCGCGAATCACGTGATCTCTTACTCAAGAAACAAGCTGATGAATTGGATACATACAAGAAGGCAAATGAAGTTAGAAAGCAAGTATTCAGGAACAAATATCAAAATGGAAAAAGAACTATATCAAATAGAAGAGCGATGTTGAAGCATCAAGAAGAGATTGCTAAAGATCCTGACAGAGTATGGAGGCTTAGACATCGTGGAGAACGTGATACAGTTGTTACCGGTGCTCGAAGAGAAGGTGTTAAAAACCTTCCACCAATTAGTCCAATTTTACTTCCTCCTCTTGAAGAAAAGAAATCTTCTAGAAAGCAGTGATTGATTTAATCATATTTATCTCATTATATATATTCTAACATATATATGTTATCATTATTTTTTTGTTATTGTACTCGAAATAAATGTTATGTTATTTTGTTACTAAATTTCCTGATTTCATTCATTCTATATTTGAAGTTACACTGTCTCAATAGAACAAAAGCGTGGAATTAATCTTCTGGATAAGGGATTTAAATAATTCATTATCTTACTCAAATAAAACTCTATTAATCAAAGAAATATTGAATATTATGAAAAATTTCGATTTTTCCTCAATGATTTGATTTTTTGAACTGTTATGATCTAACCTTGATGTAAGATGCATTGTATGGCAAGATCTATCTCATATATTATGAAGTTAATGTGTAAAAAGAAAAAATTATTTTGAAATTATTAAAATTAACAAAAATTTTTAAAAAATAATCCTTACTTCAAGAAGAAAACAGCAATTAACAAAGTAGCTAAAGCAACAATGATGTAATTCTTAATCATTGACATTGAATCAGCAGATGATGACTTTGGAGCGGAAACAACTTCTTCTTTCTTTTCTGGAACAACTTCTGGTTCAATTTCTCTTGATTTAATTGGAGTTTCTTCTTCTTTTTGAACATCTTCTTCAATTTTACCTTCTTCAGCGTTTTTCTCTGGAGAATGTTCGCCAGAAGGTTGTTCATCAACGAACCTATTAGCCGGTGGTTCGTCATTCTCTTCATCTATGTCGATATCTTCATCGAGATTATTATCTGTAACCGGGACGCTTCTTGACTGGGTGGATGCGACGTCCACCGCTTCCGCTTTTGGGTCGTCATCGTAGAATTGTACATCTCTAGTAAATCCGCGTTCTTGAGCTAATTGTTTGAATTTTTCTGTAAAAGGCTGATCATCGGTATCAACTGCTGTGGAATCAATTGTTGTATCAGAAACATCTGATATGGTTTGTGTAATATCGTTTGATTCGCAATAGACGTAGCCTTTATTGAAATATCCTGGTTTGTGAGCGCCTGGTGTTTGAAATGCATATAATGGCTTGACTGCTTTAATGTTGACAATAGCGTCAATCGGAGTATTAACGACAGCAGGCAATTGAATGAAGTTTCTTGCAGCAAGTTCGATTCTTTGACTTGAAAAGAAATTTCCTTTATCACGAATATCATAATCTATCATCTTGCGGTCAACAGCCTGACGGATTGTGCCCCAATCGGATCGAAGAACTTCCCTCTTCCATTTATGCCAAAATGAGTTCATTCTGATTGCACGGAACTTAGGACTCTTGCCTTTTGAGCTCAAGTTTTTCATAATATACTGCATTTGGCGCTGTCTATTAAACTCCATTGCAATATTCAACCATTGTAATCTGTAAGCTGTAATCATTTCTCCTTTTTCAGCTTCCTCAAGCGCTTGTTCAGCAATCGCTTTAACTGCTGAAACGCTGAGAGAGCACACATGAACAGCGCTTCTCACAGGCTTCATAATAGAATTCTAAAAAAAAATCAAACGTTCACTGTTATGATTTTTTGGGATATAGGTAAAATGTTGCTGTGGCATTATTTTTAGATATACAAACGAAATCATTCAACAAAATGTGCAATTGAACCTGAAAATAAAAATATGAATATGAAAATAGAATCAGAAAACAATATTGATTGTATCAATAGAATACCTATCTTTTGAAATTTGATAAATCATCTGCATCGGATGTATATTCTATATAAGATTTTTTATCGAAATAATTTGATGTTTTTCAGATCCAATCTATGAGAAAGAGTCACAAAAACTTCAAATATTTGAGAGTTTACAATAGATAACATACAATTTTTTATTTGAAAAATATTAAATTTAAACTTTGTCTGTTTTCAGAATTTGTTTGGTATATTCGAGTGCATTTGCGAAGTTGTTCCATTCGGCGCAGGATCCGTTTGGATGGACCCATCCTGTTCCTGTAATATTTTGCAAAAGTCCAGTTAATTGTTCTCCTGATTTTCCTCTTAATCCGAGCCTTCTGTAGTTATTTCTCCATGAGAAAGCCAATACATTCGCTGGACCTGAGTTTGCACCAGCATTTCCACGATTGACAACTACGAATTTAATGGATTGCTTCTTTGTTTCATCGGGATCAATGATATCATGGTATTGATGAACAGGAACGAATCGATTTAAGCACAAAATCTCTCCAGTTTGGTAATATCTCTTTCTATCTTCCATTGCACGGCGAATATATGATCTATCTGGAATCATTGTCTTAGTGATCCAACTGACTCTTTGGTTGAATTGCTCTTCAATCAAATTCATAAGAGATTCAAGAACTTCTTGTTTAACTACTGGATCTGGATCATCTGAAGGATCTAGAGTAGATGCCAATCGAGAAATGTCGCAGTCTTGCTTTGTGTCAAGAGGTAAAATCATAGTTTTGTAAAGTTTTTGGATTAAAAAGTCGAAATCTTCTTGAAATTCGAATCCAGGAAGGTTGTAATGATTCGCAATTGCTCTTCCACCAAATTCATGATATATAAGTCCGGCAATTGTAAGCGTATCAGGGTAATCTGGAAATGATAAATTTGATTGTTTTGAATAAATATGTCTCTTAGGGTCATATTCATCAGTAATGTTAAATTGAAAACCACATTGTTCATAAATTTCTTTGTCATCTGTTCGAAGTACTTGAAAATTTCGATATTCTGGAACCCATTTGAGAATTAACAGAGCAACAGCAAGCTCACCGGAATAGTCTAATGGTGGAATGGCTATTTTATGAATGTATGGATATTTTGAAGAATCAATAGATTCCTCATAATCTTCTTCGTAATCTTCTTCAATTCCTTGCTCTTCTTCTTGAAAAACTTCTTGAGAATGTTTTGGTGTTGATAAAAAGTCTTTAGTTTGACTCATTGACAAAAAAAAATGAAATAAAAAAATGGGTGATAAAAACGTGCAATTAAACAAAATGATCATAATTATAGTTGTGATGATCATATATTCGATTTTTTCAAGTTTAATACGTTTTTGTTGATGACATTATATTTTTTAAATTTCAAAATGCAATATATTATTCAATAATAAAGTTATTTACCATTAAATTATTAAATAGAATACATCTATAGATTAAACATTTCGAAAATACTCTTCCATTAACGAAAATATTGAATTTTATTATCAAACTTAAAAGTTTTTCCAAAATAAATTCAAATTCGATTTTTTCATGATAAAACTTGTTGTTTTTTATTATGCATTTCGAAATTTCATGGAAATTTTGAATTCAGGGAAGCAAACATTCCCATAATAGAACAAGTTTTCAGTGAGGCTACTTGCTAACTATCTTTATCTTTGGCATGAAGAGGAAAATTGATGAATCTTCATTTACTAGCAGCATTTGATTCACATTCAGCTTCAGATCATCAAGAAATACAAAAACAGCTTTAGTATATTTATGTATTTATGTTCTATTATCCTGAAATGTATACAATCATTTTATTTAAGTTTAAGGAATCACATTGAGGAGATTGCCCATCAGCAATCTGATGATGTAATATAAATTTACAGAATTAGGCAAATATTCGTATTTTACAATAAATCCATGAACTAATCAGGTCTATTTTTCCTTTGTGTTTTTGAAATATTGTTCTACAATATACACTTACTATTAATTTATTGTTAATTAGCTTATCTGCTTTTGACGAAGATTTTCGATATCATTCGGTGAAAATTAAAATATCTCAAGAGGTTTAGGGTTGTACAAAAGATCTGGTTTTTGAACTTTTGTGAGTTAGTTTGAAAAAAGGTGACCAAACTATTTTTTGAAAGTCCGCCATAACTTTAATGGTACTATTTCAGCGTGTACAATGAATACAAAAATTCTAAGAGTGCCACATAAAATAGTACTTTAGACTTGAGTTAATGCTACCAAGCAAATGTTAAAAAGATGACTTTAGTGTTTTGATAATCAAAGATTAAAATCATTATTGTCTAAATCAATAATCATAACGACAGAAGTTAATGTTTTTTCATAAGTGCTTTAAATCCACTTTTAAAAGTATACCTCAAAAATCAAAATATCAAAAAAAATTGGCCGATAGGTTTGGCTTTAATTTTTGTCTGCTTTTATGATTTGATATGGATGTTATAATTTTAAAAGTTGAGCCAAATTCACCAATAGATTTTTGAGATTTGCAAATACTCAATAATTTTCAGCGTGTTATCTTTTATTAAAAGAACTATTTGGTTTCAGTATCATATAAATTGATATTTACTTTCTATTTGAACCTTCATTTAGCTAATGATTTAATAATACAGATTTCATCTAGTCCTTATAAGAGAATTTTGAATTTGTTATAATAAAAAAACAAACAGATATAGCTTACACTTCTATAATAAAGATACCTTTTATAGAAATCAGTATGAAATGTGTTTTGGCTTATTGGAAGCATATCAGACATAATCGCCATAATCAAAAAATCTATATACCCAATAAGTAATAAATTTGTCGATATAGATTTTCCATAAAATTAGTTTTTAGTCTGATCTTAAAATAAATTTAATTTTTTATAAAAAAAATCACATTTAAAAGTACCTTTTTAGTAGCTCGAAATCCTGTTGGTGGATTTCGGGCGTACTTCAAAATTAGCTTTTCTTCTACATATGCAAGCTATATTTTAAATATGGGGCAAATCGGATCGGCGAAAGGAGTTTAGTTACCTTTGTTTGAAATGGTCTCCCAAATTTAAAACGTTCTTTTTAACTTTATATTCAAATTGATTCGATGGTGATCTCTAGATAATAAAATCCGAAATTCAATCTGCTTATTTTCAATTTTTTTTATCAATAAATTTGAAAACTTTACGTCAATTACAGTAAGATGAGTGAATCAACATCATCAGTACAAATAGAAGAGAGAGATCAAGCAGATGTTCAATCCGAAACACCAGTGCTCCCAAAAACACGTAGCCAGACGGCATCTCTCCCACAGAAACCTTCGAATCAACCGAAGTTCCCACTTCCTAGCTACCTTGTTGGTGTATTATCAGAAGAAAAATGGAATTCATTTTCGCTCGCTAAGCAAAAAATCTGCATGAGGATTCTGAAATCACCCAATTCGTTTTATTTCCGTTTCAGACCTCCGTGGGAAGAAACAAAGGTTGGACCATTCTCCAAGGAGGAAGAGGCAATGTTCTACAGGCGTATGGATTACTTTCAGAAAACATTGGGAATCAAAAATGCATTATGGGGATATTTTGCCATCCCATTCATTGGCAGAGTTGGATACCAGCTTTCAACATTCTACAGGAATCAAGTAAAGACCGGTAAAATTAAAGATGAAGATTACTCCAAAGATGATAAAGGCGATCTTAAAAGCACACGTCCAAGATCTAAGCACGAGATACCTGAGCCGCTTTCCAAAAAACTGACTGATGAAGCCTACAATTTCATTTTGAACCAAATCGAAGGATTGGACATTAAGGACGAGGACATTGGTGATGATTACACTATCGGAAAGAGACCACGGAAACAGCGCTCATATTCTGATAATGACTTCACAGCTGATGAGAAAGATTTCAATGACGACAATCTCGATAATCCAGACGATCCATTCGTTCAGGGACATCCTAATGAGCACGGCAGCAAGTCCGCTAAGGATGGATCTGCTCAGAAGGATAACTCTGCTCAAAAATCCGAAAACGCTTCTGGATCAGCCGAAAATGGAGGATCTTCTAATTCTAATACGGAAAGATCCCAGAATCAAGCTGGAAATTCACATTCCAACCAAAATGCCGATTCCGAAATCCGCCAATCTGCTTCAGAAACAGCTGATTCATCGAAGCAAGAAGCTGCTGCACCAGCCCAGCAAAATCCAGCTCCAAGAAAGCGCGGCCGCCCACGGAAAAATCCAATTGATCCAAATGCACCGAAACCACAACCAGCACGTCCAAAGGCAGATGGCAACAACGATGAAGAATCTGATTTCTCGGGTCTCGTCAGCCGAATCAGGAGTCGCCACCACCACAGCCAGAAAAAGAACGTAGATTATGATTCCGATGAAGAAGGATGCCCTCTTGTTGGTGGTATGGACCCAGTTTCCCATCGCCCAATGAGAAATCCAGCTGTTAACCAAGAAGGATACGTTTTGGATTATGATTCTTGGACAAGAGTATTAAACGGAACTGCAAGGATGCCATTCGATACAAATATTCATAACTTGAACGAGCTGAGAGTTTTGAACAGGAGAAACTACAATGAATTGAGGATGACTTTTATCAACTTCAATCCAATCTAAAATCGGCTTAGTTATGATGAATTCCAATTACACCCATACCGTAATCATGCACATCGTATATGGCAATTGTATTTTGTGTAAACATTCATTTTTTTATTATTTTTTTAATTTGATTCTTCTTTCTTTTTTTCTTTTTGCATTGCCTCTTTCTACGATAATCAAATGATTGACATATGTCTACTCTCTGCATGAGCATGACTTGAAAATGAACAAACCTTCTCCAAAGTAATGTTTAGATATTGAGAAAAGTGATGTAAAAAATTATATTGAAAAAGACTTATCCTCCCAGCAGATAAACAGATATTTAATTTAAAATACGATAGCATACTAGTTTCACCTTTATTTCTAATTGACAATTTATTGTGTCGTCGATCATAACTACTCAATTTTCTGAAGAATTGAACTTATAAAGTGCACAATTTTAGTTTAAAAAAATCGGATGCAAATATATGCATAACACTAATCCTGACTTGATACTATGCAATCTTGCGCAAGTAAAATAAGAATTTAATAGGTTCTTGAGCAAATTTGATGTTGATTTGAGAAACATTTGAAGGTTGCTCTTGATTTCAGGTAAATTTTAGTTTGATATTGTTTATCAGGCTTCTATTTCACTCCACATTAACATATATTCAACTTTTGCAAATGACAATAAAGAAATAAAAAGTTTGATGAATGAGAGTATTATGCCTATTCGCAACCATATGTACTATAGCTCGTTTTACCAATTAATCAAGGAAAGGGTTTAATTCTTGAAAATTTTATATTATTATTAGAAAGTTGAGCGAAGTAGAATCGTATAAACTAGAAGAAACACAATTGGGATTATATTTAATGAATTAAATAAAATAAGTTAAGGGTGCACCCGTATGTACGTTTATTTGAGAGGAGGAGGATTACCCTCTCAATTTTGAGGGATTCGTTAGTTTATTTTCTCGATGAATATGCAATAAAATTTGATTTTTACCTTATCAATATACTTCATATAATATACACATGTTCATGTAAAAACTTTTTCCCAAAATCCTCAGGAATTAAGGGATTTTTGAATTTTAAGAATTTTTTTCGAATTTTTTCGAAAAAAAATATTTTCAGAACAGCCTTAATGGCTAAGATTTAGGAACAATGTTAAGTATCAAAAAGAAAGGAGGTCTGATATAGACAACATATATCGTTGAAGGTTGAAAAAATCTCTAATATTTGAGCCCAAAATTTCAAATTTTAATTTTTTGAAAAAAGAGGCCACCCGTATGTACGTTTATTTGCGAGGAGGAGGATTATATTTTTGAAAGGGTGAAACATTATGAATATGTTAATTATATAATAATATGTATTATTATAAAAAAGAAAAAATAAAGCACGTTAAAATTTTTCTTTCTTGATTTTTTACAAAATCTACTTAGAATTATGCAAAATATGACTAAATAATTATAAATTTCAAGTTAAATTTTAATTTTGATAAATAATTTAAATTTCAAAATATCAAGTTCAGTTCGACTATGTATGTAGTAATTCCTCAATAAAGTGCCAAAACCCTATTAAAATATATGAACATTTTCAACATTTTAATGTTTTTATTTAAAAATTTGTTGGAATATGAGCTTCAAACAATTATTATGTAAATAAAAATAATTAAATATATGTATTTATTCGTATTACAACCGTAGTAAGTCGATTCTTCCTTTCTTCTACTGAGGTTTGAATTTGATTTCGAATTGTAAAGAGATTCAAAGGGAAAATACTAGCGGATAAAAACTACCTCCATGAAAGGGTCATAATGGACTCAAGTTGTATTTTTTGATATTTTTTGCTTTTCGAGCCTAAATAGGTAGCCAAGATAATGCCTAAAAATAAGGTTCTAAATTCTGAAGTTTACATGATCCTCTCGTGTGCACCCTTAAGAAATATTAAAATTTACTCTAAAAGAGGCAATCCCCTTTGAAGTAACTAAACCATAAGAAAATTCTGGGGACTAAAGAGGGTCGCAAAAACGAACAATATCACCCCCGACCCGCGACCTAATATTGGGAGGAATGGGTGATCTAGAAGGTTGTTGAATATTTCTTGAGGGAGAAGGTGGCATATCTTGGTTGATAGATGCCTCAAAACGAGAGCAGACTTTTCTAAATCCAGCTGCTGAAGATTCTTGTTTATCACGTATTATATCATTAATTCTTGCATTTTCATATTTAACGCGAGGATCTGCAGTATCTTGGAATCTCTTGAAAGCTTCTTCAGGATCCGCAACACGATGTGCCCAGTTCCTGTCGAAGTATTCGCGTAATTGTTTTGTCATATCTGGGATTTTACGTTCTTGAGCTACAATAGGAGTTTCAGGTACTTTCGGACTAACTGCATAAATTATATCGTTTTCTTTGATTTTGTAGAAGGAAAAAGAGAGTGTAGGTAATAATATTGCTCCATTATAAACAAATCTGTAACCTTTGTTTTCTGTTAAGTCGTCGAGAGATTCAATTGCATCAAAAGGTGAAATTTTTGTAGTTAATTTAGCACGACCAGAGATTCGAATTGTGATAGGACCATCGGAGGGAATAGGGTCCCCCTCGGAATGAGAGTCAATCACCATATAATGCGCTTGCATAGATCGCAGCGTATTAAAATTAGACGATTATTTTTCCATAAATTTTCGATAATTTGTTTGCTTATTTTAGTATATAGAACAATTATTATAATTAAAATTTTGATACTTCTCAAAAATTCAGAAAGAATTTTAGCGGTTTGTCATGCAAAAATTTTGTTCCTAAATCAAAATCATTTTACCCCTCAATTGGAATATGGTCACAACTTTTGTATGGATTAATAATATCCATTGCGAATAAAAATAATTTCCTCTTTGACTTCAATTTATTGCCAATATAGTTGTTTCGACTGTCATATATCATAATATAACAGAGAACCTCCGAATTAGAGCATTTCCCTGAATATGCTTAAATATTCTTATAATTTTTATCCATAAATTTCCTTTGACTAAGAAAATCAATTCCTTTCAACCAAAATATTTAATACAAACACGATAGGTCAGTAAACGACATCAAAGCTAACTTATATATTTGAAAATATTAACATTTATCTGTAAATGTTGATCTTTCATAAAATAGAAACTCTAACCATACAAATCGCTTCATAGACATACAATGCTTCTCCTATAAGCTAAATATCTTATTGCAATCTTTCATAATGTGCAATTGTGAATGAATTGAAGCGAATAAACACAAAAGGGAGTCAGAAAGCTCATCACCTTCAATGGAAATACCAATATGATGATAAATTCATGTTGATGATTTTTGATTTTACATCCCGAGAAAATAAAACTGACATGAAAAAAAATATCAGAAATAAAATGCAAAGTTATGAAGAACTGAAATTACTTTTTGATGCAGAAATAGAAGAAGGCAATTATGCCGAGGCAAAGAAAATAAAAGAGAAGATGGAACAATTAAAAGTAAGTCAACCAAGTGACAAAATTAAACAAGTTATTGAAAAATTCCAGGCTGCCTTCGACGAAGAGTTGGAGAAATGCAGGGCTAATGTTCAGAAAGCTGCCGAATATCAATATGCTAGGGAGTTAAATTACAGAGAACAGCTTAGTAATCAGTTCACTCAATTAGCTAAAGAACACGTAATTAAATTGACAAAAATGGAAACAGCAATGTACGAACATTATGTTTCAACATCAACTCCCGATAAACGTGTCGTCAAGATGCTAAAAGACGCCCAAAAATTGGCAAATAAACAACAATTTGATGAAGCTCAAGAAATGAAAGAAAATGCAGAAGAACTTAAAAATAAGATTGACGAGCAAGCCCTTGAAACTATGGAAAAGAACTACGAAACTTACGTTTGCAGAGTTTTAGATCAATTCCATACAGAAATAGATACATTGATAAACAACAATAAAATCACTCCAGAAATGAATGAAGACTTAATAAACAAGCAGAGAGATACAAACAAAGTTTTACTCGATATATTTGTCAGAAAATTCTTAAAAGATGTGAGACCAACGCTCTCAATAGCAGATTTTCAAGTTGTAAAGGAGAGAATAAATCAAATTTACGAAGAACAAACAGGAAGAAATATTTCTCAGAATACTGCAGCGCGTTCGCCTCGCAACTCCGATTCCCTTGAAACTGATAAGGCTCGCAAGAAATCTTCGCAGAAACACTTCATTAGTAAGAAACTCGACATGAAATACGAATCTCGCGCTTCAAAACGCTTTGAAGATCGCCGATCTCAAGCTGCTTTTGATGACTAATACATACTTGTCTTATGTAAAAAATTTCTTTGTTATTAGGCAAATTTTAATTTTAATTATTTTTTTATTTCATTTAATTAAGATGAAACTATGCAAAGACACACGAAATCAATTTATCGTTTATGAATATAATCATTCCTTTTCATATTTTTGAAATAAAAAAAATTAAAAATTTATTTCAACAGAATGAGTATTTTATTTTAGGTTTATTTAACATTGTTAATGAACTCGTTGAGGTCTGTAGACTTTTCTTCTGTTTCATCAGCAATACCCATATCACAGATCTTTGTGGCACCAAGAGCAGTTAACTTAGCCTCGATCTTCTTTGCGAAGCCAACAAAGCTACGCTTGTAGTTTGCAGATCCAACACCAAGAACGGCAAACTTGGCCTTGCTAAGATCACCTTTAAAAGCGTTGAAGCTAGCATACCAGTCCTTGTATTCGGCTGGTGGGTCACCACGGCCGTATGAAGCTGGGACGAAGATAATTTTTTCGTATGTTGGGAGTTCTGATGGCTGAACATCCTTAGCATCCTTAACTGTAATGACTGTCTCTTTACCAATCTGTTCAGCAAGGCCTTTTGCAGTTCCTTGCGCAGAGGCATATAAAATAACGCTCATGAAAAAAAAGTGATCGGTGATAATTTTTATTGTTGGTCAATTCATTTTGTTTATTTCGATGGTGTTTGATCACTTACCAACACTCCAGTTATGATCGTCTCTATATCGTGCTTTGAATTTAACTCTCAAATGGTGTTTACATGATTTTGTGATCGACATGTACCACTGTGATGATGTTCTAACTAGACACTAAAACTCATATGTACAAGTGTATTATCAATACAATACGGATCAGCTGATTTTCTGTAGATTTATAACATTTGATTTGTAATTTCAATATAGCGCCTGTAGTTGAATGCTTACTCTCTCTAATTCTAATGGGACTTGAATCTTATTAGACACTATTTGAAATCGTTGATTTTTTGAATTGATTTTTTATGTCCTGTATGGAAATAATGAAAAAGATTTTTCTCATTGGAATGACTAGGCGAATGATAGTTAACTCAGTACTAAATGATTCATTAAATAAATTTATATATTTATTCTAAAACAAAATGATATAATATTTATCAATACACTGATACACGAACTCTTAACTAGATCTATTCAATTAATGGCGTAGCTCCATAAATAAAGCTTTCGATTAATCCTTCATTTGAGCCCATTTTAATGTGCATTGTTCCGTTAATACCCCAATTCTTACCATGCTGGTTGAGAAGGATCCAGTATTCAACACCATTTTCCTTTCCCCATCCAATTAATTCGACAGCGTGATTTCCAGCTTCGATATATCCTTTATAGCTAGATTCGTAGATTCCACCATGGTAGTTGACAAAACCACTATCTGTTGCAATAGAAGCGCTAACAGGACCGTATAAATAAACTGCTTTTTTAATTGCTTCAACACCAACGTAACGAGTAGTACTTCCATAAACTGATTTGTATAATTTAAATTTTTCGCTTGTTGAGCATTGAGAACAGAATTTAATTCCGTATTCTTGTCTGTTTTGGAATGGATGGCATTTATAATCAGTTAATCCATGCTGTTCCATGAAATAGAAAACACTTCTTTCACATCCACCTACGCATCCATTATCAGCAATATCACATGCAACGATATATTGGGCTGATAAGAGTAATTGCTTTTCTGTTGCACGACAAAATCTATGACTCATGGCCTTAAGAGCACCATATGCATAACAACAGCCGCATTCTTGAGTTAAAGGGCCGAAATCGCAATGAGGGTATGCTTCTAAGAAATTATAACTCTCAGGCAAATCAACATGAACATCACTGAGATTTGTAGCATATCCACGTGGTGAAAACATACATAAATTGCTGAAAAATACAAACATTTCGAATTTGAAGATTCGTCACTTTTTTTATTAAAAAAATGGTAAAAGTAGATCTACCATTAGAAGAGAAGTTTGATGGCGAACTACTTCAAACAACAGAATGGAAAAAGCCAGGAACAACAGATGAAGATGACGAAGCACCAAAAAAGGTTTGGAATAAAGTTTTTGGAATATTTGTTGCCATTTCTATTGGTGTATTTGCAGGAATGAGCTGCAAAACAATTGGTGAATCATTTTTATACTCAGCTTTATTCTTAGGAGAATGTTTCATTTGTGTTTGCATTTCAGGAATCGTGAAGACTCTTAGCTTCAAGAGTTCAGTTATATCATTCGCTATTTACTTCGGAATATGCGGTATTGTTACACCAATTTCATCATGGGGAGGCAGCAAATTGATATAAGCGTAATGTATTTATAATAACAGCTTGTAAGCATATGTTATCAATATAGAAATTATTCAATTAGCGGAATATTTAGTTTTCTTTTTAATATCTGTAAATGTTAATTTATCTTTCAATATTTTCTTTTTTTTTCTAATAATTTATAGTTGTCTAATCAAATATTTCGATTTAATAATATATCATATAATATGCATCGTTTAATTCTTAGAAAAAAACAAGAATTTAATATTTTCATCAATAATAATTGTATTGAAGTATAATTAGCATAGAATTTTTAAATAAATACGAGTTTATGATCGAAATACAATATCCATACAAACTTAATGATTTCATTGAAATCATCATAACAAATAAGATATTGATATGCCTTAAGCACGGATAAATTTATATTAAATGTTCTAGATGATTAGAGTTATCATTATATGAAGTCATAATAGTTACATTTAAAAACAAATTTTGATTTTCTTTTTCATAAAACAAGATTTTAAATATAACAATAAAAAAATATTAAAACAATAGAATCACTTTGATCTCTTCTTATTGACTTTCTTAGCATAAGAAGGTGTTTCAGTTTTATCCCATGGTAATCTTCTTTCTTCCTTCAAGTTGAAAGGATAAGTTCCCTGAGGCAAAGGTTTCTGATAAGGCAAATTCCTAAATGGAGGATATCTCTGTCCATTTGGCTTAGGAGGACTGTTCTTTGGCGAAGTTGATTTTCTAATTCCGCTGTTTTCGCTATTTCTAACAGGAACCCAGAACTGCATTCCTCCTTTCTTATATTCCGTGTTTTCCATCAATCTGTCCTGATAATTTGGAGCTTCCTTGTGATTTATCCTCTTCTTAGGAACATATTTCTCATAAGCAAACTCTGATTCCGCATCTGTTGCTGCCACATACTTTCTGTCTTCTTCAAATTCACTGGAATCGCTTTTTTCATCTGCAACAAAACCGAAAAGTCCTGGAGCTGTTTGTTCAATTCCAGCTTTTTGATGATCAACTTCGTAAGGACCGGAATCTTCGCAAGAGTCAAGCATTGATGGACTTGTTCCATATCCATTTGCTTCTTGATCGTAAACAGGGAATTCAGCTTCAAATTGCTGATGTTTCGGTGATTTTTCACTTGGAATTTTCCTCTTAACTTTTTTGATTTTTCTTGGAGGACTTTCAATGATTTCTTCGTCATTGATGTTAGGAACTTTGTCCAATTGCTCGAAATCATCAATTGGATTGTCATAATTGCTTTCTGAGATACTGTTGTCGTTGCGGTCTGGCTCTGAGTCTGTGGAATACTGAGCTGATTCTAAAACTGGTCGGACAGGAACAGGAAGTTCACTTTGTGGTTCTTGGATGTCGTTTTCGTCCATAAAGTTCATTCGAGATGGAGGAACTGCATCATCATTCTTTCCTGGACATCTTACACCATCAAGCCATGCAATTTCGCCGGTAGCCGAGGAAATAATTCTATCTCTGTATTCTTTTCTGGCGGAATTAGCTCCAAACTGCTTGTTATAGATCTCTTCTGATTCATATTCGGGAAGTTCCATATCATCTTGCAAAATTGGTGGAATATCTTGGTAAAGATTTGAATTTACAGGATTTCCTCTGATATCAAGGTATTTGAGAGTTTTCACGTTTGCTACAAAATTAAGTATATCATCCATAGAGTTTAATTTGCAATATGTTAGACTTACAGCTACTAAATTTGGTGCAACTGTAGCAAGTGGAGATAATTTAGAAATTTTTGTAGAATTAGCACGGAATTCCTTTAACTGTGGGAAGAAGGCGTCAATGATCAATGACTTATCATCAAAAGGATTAAATGAAATATCTAAAGTAACAAGTGATTGAAATCCTGTGAGAGGTGTGAGAGAGATAAGGTTATTATATGAGAGATCGACGTAGGTGAGAAGTGCCATATAAAATGGTGGGAAATCAGTGATTTTATTGTGAACTGCACTTAATGAGCGAAGATTTAACAAAGAACGAATTCCATTTAGATTTGTAAGAATTCCTCTATCCATGATAAGTGTAGAGAGTCCTGAAAATACTCCCATTCCATGTAATGAGCGAAATTGGTTTCCGCTGATGTCTAGACTGACAAGACGAGGAATTGGGCTTCGTATATAGATAAAACGTATTTTGTTATTTGATAAATTGAGCTGTTTTAATGAAACACAGCCTTCCAAGTTTTCAATCACTTCAATTTGATTTTCTGAGAGATTAAGAGAATGAAGATTCGCTATATAAAACAGTCTCTCCATTTTTGAGATATTGTTATATGATAAGTCAAGATATGTTAAAGAAGTACAGTATTTGAATGGATCTTCTTCAATTGTTGATATGTTATTGTGAGAAAGCTGTAATAATTTAATAATTTGTGGTGAAGGAAGGCCTTGTAATGAAGCAAGTTGATTATTGGATAAATCTAATGCTGGCGCAGCTGGAATTTTCGCTCCTTTTAATGTTTTGATGCCTCTTGACTGGAATGATGAGACTGCATCGCTCTCACTCAAAAGACTAACAGATGGTTTTGCTTTACGCATGAAAGTTTGAAGATTTTGTTTGAAAACAAACGTATTGATAATCAAATCACTGTTTTAAATATCCGATCTGCACCACTCACATCAATTATTTCAGGAATAAAATATAATATTCGAGAAATGTCAAATATTAATTTCATCAATATTTCGAAATAAAGAATTCGATGTCATTTCATGTATCAAACAAAATACCTTTCATTTCACATTTAAGTGCAATAATATGATTAACATAACCAGCATTTTACATTTGAGCTTGAATCGTATTCAAACCATATAATTATTCACTAATTAATATCCATCAAATCCTCTTAAAATACTGATAAATATGAAAAAACAACAAATAATAGTATATTAAAGGAATTTTAATTTAATGTTTGCATTAATCATCATGATTGCAGATTGATTCAACATTAAATTTTAATGTATGCATTTCTTCAGTATAAGAATGGTAAAATTCCTTAAAGAAAACCAAAATTATATGGAAAATGGGAAAATTCTTCGACCAAGTATCTCAGAAATAACCAACAAATGCTGAAATCATGGAATACATCGATGGTCAGTCATGATAATAAAAATTTCTTAACGTATTGTTTTCTAAAAAATCCCGCGCAAACAGAAAAAAAAAGTTCAAAAAAATAAAAAAATGTCTGAAGTGACGAAGTTCAAGAAGAACGACGTTGTTTCAGCATATTGTGAGGAGTATCAGACGAACATGGATGCCGAGATTGTCGATTTCAGGCATCACAGGCAACAGGCATACGTACATTTCATCAAACAAGATAAAAGACTTGATAGATGGATGGACGTATCAAATCTCTTCCCATCAACAGAATCAAATACGAATAAACAAGAAGAGCACGTTCTTTCTAGGAACCAAAGAAAGTTACTTGACGATTCTGATTCAGATGACGAAGCAACTACAGCAGAATTCATTCAATTCGAAAAGGTTCATCGCGAAGTTACCAAAATACGCAACATTGACTTCATAACAATAGGAAAATTTACAATTCGTACTTGGTATTACGCACCATACCCACCGCCATTCTATAAAATGGATCACATATATATCTGTGAGCATTGCTTCTCATACTTCAAGTCGCCAGAAGACTTACAAGCTCATATTGACGAAAAGAAAGAATTATGTCCACCAGGTAGAGAAATTTATAGAGAAGGAAACCTCAGCGTGTTCGAGCTGAAAGGTAAAAGACAAAAGCTCGCATGCCAGAACCTCTGTTTACTCTCAAAATTATTCCTCGACCACAAAACACTTTTTTACGATGTTGAAGGGTTCATTTTTTACGTACTTTGCGAGTGTGATGATTCAGGAGCACATATCGCAGCTTATTTCTCTCGAGAATTGAACTCAGCCCAAAATAATATTTTGGCCTGTATTACAACTTTACCACCATACCAGAAGCGAGGCTACGGACACTTCCTTATCTCCCTGGCGTATGAAATTGCTAAACGCCAGCACAGAACAGGCGGCCCAGAAAGACCTTTGTCAGATCTCGGCAAAATTGCATTCAAAGCTTACTGGAGAGACACAATATTGAACTTACTTAAGAACCAATCAGCTGAGATCACCAGCGTCGATTCTCTTGTCAATATGACTGCAATTGACAGATTTGACATAATTGATACGTTGAAAGAGGTCGGATTAGTCACAAAAGTCAAAGGTGAATACGACCTTAACTTAAACAAAGAAGCTTTGACCACTGCTCTTTCTGCAGTTGATTTTTCAAAACAAAAAAGAAGAATTGATCCTTCAAAGCTTATCTGGCTTAACAACCCAGATGAAAACGAATAATACTATGTATAATAAAACATTTGTTTATTTTGCTTCAATATTTTTCATTATTATTTTATCAAATTTTATTTTAAAAATGAAATTGCGATATAATGACTCATATAATGCTCACAATCGATTATTGAGAGATAGATAGAAATAGTTAATTTTAAAAATATGTTAATCATGCTCCACTTTGAAAGATTAAACAAGAATACAAATGGAATAGATTCATATGCATATACTTACAATTGTCTCAAGATAGATCCAAATTCTTATCACACAAAACAGTCGTACTCATCCTTATAAAAATTTAAATAACTTTAGGATATTTATTCTTTTGAAACTGATCTTATATTTCATTTATATTTTGCACCATGAGAAAGTAGAAGTTCACGTATTTCTTTCTTATTTTCAATTACTGCAATATAAAGAGCAGTATATCCGTAGGAATCTTTTTCATTAATGTTTATACCATGTGAAAGGAGAAGTTCGACAAGTTCTATACTATTTTCATAATATACTGCATAATAAAGACAGTTTCTCCCACCATTATCTTTTTGATTAATATCTGCCCCATGTGAAAGAAGAAGTTCAATTATTTCTTTACTATTACTTTTTACTGCAATATGAAGAGCAGTTTGTCCATAATCATTGAATTTATTGGGATTTGCACCATGCGATAGAAGAAGTTCAACTATTTCTTTATTATTATTTATTGTTGCAATATGAAGGGCAGTTTGTCTAAAGCCATCGTTTTCGTTGATATTTGCACCATGTGATAGAAGAAGTTCAACTATTTCTTTTCTATTATTAGTTACTGCAATTTGAAGAGCGGTTATTCCATAGGGACCTTTTCCATTAATGCTTGCACCATGCGAAAGAAGAAATTCGATTGTTTCTTTTCTATTATTTTTTACTGCAACTTGAAGAATGTTTTCCCTACGGTTATCTTTTTCATTAATATTTGCACCATGTGAAAGAAGAAGTTCAATCATTTCTTTACTATTATTTTTTGCTACTTCATGAAGTACGGTTTCTCCATCACTATATTTTTCATTAATATCGAGACCAATTGAAATGAAATAATTACAGAGAGATGGAATGTTAAACTTCAAAGAATATGAAAAGCTGCGGCTAATATCATTAGTTAGATCGAAATAAACTAATAGCGATTCAAGATTGTTATAAATCTTACAATAATATAAATCAATCTCTAAATTGTATTCATTAACCAAAAATGTAACAAAATCAATGTTGTGTGAAATAATTGCATATTTCATGCATTTTTCATCAGGTTTTTGATATTTCAAACATTCATTCATGATCTCTGGATTTCTCCCTAAAAATGAAAGTCTGAGACATTTTTTCGTTATTTTCGAGTGAAATTTTGTTCTTAATAACTTGAAACAACCAACTGCTCCATGATAACAACATAATTCAAGTAATGAATATCCTTCCTCGGAATATGGATATAATTGGTTTTTAAGCTTTTGATCTTTATTAAATCCTTTTCTTTCAGTGAATGAAATGAATCTTTCTAGATTATTATACATAATTGCTTCGTAAATTGTATTTTCTGCATGAATTTCTATATATTCTGATTGTAATTGTTCGAAATTATCAGACATTTTTAATTTAATTCCATATTCTTTATAAAACAGGAAGCTTGAAAAACTGCCAATATCGCTGACCTCTTTGACATGATAATCATCAAATATAAGTTTAGCAAGAGCCAAATATGACTTAATATAGCGATTATTATACGGAATAATATCTAAAATATCCTTCATAATATTTTCTGGAAGAAATTCCTTTGAATCAATTAAATTTGTTTTGATCATTTTGTAAATAGAGTTTAACTCTTCTTCGTTTTCAGTTCTTAACTGATACAACGCAATACATGAATCAATATGATTTTTATTGATACTTCTCAATACAATGTATTTGTTTGGATTATTGTATTCGTTTGACATTAAGGGAGCAATAACTTTGTTTACAACTATTCAATTTTTATCATGAATTGATGTTTTTATGATTAAACATAAATATAGAATACATTCAACATACTTTATCTTTTCACTGTTTCAAAATCTAAAAAAGATCTTGTAAAGAAATTTTGTAAACTAAGATTTTTGAAGGAATATTATTTTCCGTCGGAAAAGTGACAATTTTATCATTTTCTTCAGACAACAATGATAATTTTTTATTTTCATGACCGAGCTAAAAAGATAATACGTGAAAAGCTTTCAATATTTCAGAGATTTTTTCCATTTGCAGTTTCTGAATATGCTGTCTAGATGAAGAAGGTGTGCCCATAAATATATGGTAAATTTGAATATAGTTTAACTCACGCTTCAAGTTAAACAAACAATTTATCATTAGATTGATTTTCTCCATTCAAAATACTTTCAATTGAAATGATATTTAAATTATATCTACAAGTATTTTAAGTAATGAGTTGTGAATCATACACTGGTCATGCTTTCACAACTTAAAGGAATTAATTTATTGGCATAATTGATATTGATCAATTGCAATGATTAGAAATCTACATTCGATATATTCATGCAGAATCTATATCCTGTTTTATACTTATTTTGACAAGAAGGAATATCTTTCGAGTAACATTTTTTTGATAGTCGTTATATATAATCGTTTTGTATTGAATTAAAATTATATCAATTTTGAAAAGAATTTAATCCGCTCTCAAATATTCGACAAATCGATTTCTTTATACTTATCTTAAAGTTCAATTTCAATTCTACCTTTGTTAATAGAGGTTGAAGAAAAATAAAATTAAAGGCGACTTGCCATTTTCTGACAATCCTCAAGTTTCATATCATGGGAAATATATAGTCAGGAGAAAAAGGTGTAAACCGGGCAAAAAGGTGTAAACCTTAAATCTTTAGGGCTAAAAGTAGGAAAGATATTGTCCCCATATGTGTGCGATCTGGGAGGTATGATTAGTTCAAAAAATTGAAATAGATTTAATAATGAGATATTAGCTATTATATGATAACATATATAAATAATAACATAAATAGGTTCCTTATATTATAACAATTATAATTCTTTGAAGAAAATAGATATTTACAATCTCAAATAATCTTGAATATTTCATCAAGTTGAGACTTAGTGATTTAAATGCTAGTCCATTACATTGTACTTCAATAGCATATAATATATGCTCGATCATTTTTATATGAATTAACTATCAAGCAGCTAGAATACATAAAAAACCGTATCTAAAAAGGTGTAAACCATATTGAGAAAGCTAGTTTTTTTAGTATGATCATAATAATCGATTCCACATTAGAAAATAAAATTATTTTTTGCGTATCGATAATTGAATTGATTTTTTACCACAATAATAACAAATTCAATTTAAAATTTGAGCAACAGACTTCAATAAAGAATAATTTAAGCCTACATGATGTGTATCTATATTTCTTACAATATAAATGCTATAACTTCAATTTGAAATAACAAATTTGATTATTCCACAAATTTTTGAAAATACGATTATATTACCATTAAAAACAATGAGATAGAATAAAAACTTTCTAAAGATGAAAGAAATAAAACTTGAACAAAAATGAACGTTTATAATTTTTTCATTCTGGATTATCCAACTCCAACTAAAGATCTCCTCGAAAGACCCACGCCAAATAACCCAATATTAGGGATCTACAGATGAATTAGATCATTCTCCTTAATATTTGCTGATGAAAGACGCCAAATAAGGAAATTTATTTGGTTATTGCTCATTGACATCAATTTAGACCAGTCACAGCCCAAAAGATCCAACAACAAGAACAATACTGATACATATGGCCCTAATGGATGCCAAAAAATATATAATTCTTGCAATTTCTACAAAGAATTGTTAATTTTGTTGATAAAAACGAATAAAAATATTGTCTATATTCTATTTTAAATCCATAACAATGATTTTTTGAGTGTTATTAAAGTTTTTTAAAAATTAAATTATCTAAATATTCAAATTTTAAAGTTTTTGTTTTGAACGCACTACCCAAATATACTCAATATAAGTATACTATTAGTATTAATATTGGCTCCTAAATATCAAGGTTTACACCTTTTTGCCCGGTTTACATCTTTTTCTCCTGACTATATATATTTTTTTTTCACTTCAGTATTCCAATTTTTGTGAATATACCAGAAAGTTTAAAATAAAATGTTTTTGTTTGCATGTTTTGCTCACTCATTAAATGATAATGATCCTCTTATTACACAAGAATTAGTTGATGAAATTAATAATGATCCATCAGCTCCTTTTAAAGCACGACTTTATACAAAATTTGCTAAGTTAACAATTGGAGACGCGAAGAAATTTTTATCACCAGTTCGTCCACCTCCACAGAACCATGGATCAGCCGTTCCTGTTGGGGCAAATGAAGAATTCTTCAATTATGTTGATACAAACTATATCACAGGTCTTTCAAATGTTGCCGCATTTCCAGATTGGCGTAATGCTTCAAATCAAAATGATGAAACTCTTACAGACAACAGAAAAGCAATTAAACCAAAAATCGCACATGTCAAATTCCCGGTTTTCGATGTAACTCAACTTTGCAGCTCTTGGGCTCCAGCAGTAACATCTGCAATGACGATTTCTGTTTCCCGTTGGGCAGGTGAATTTGTTAACTTCTCTCTTCAATATGTTCTTGATTGTGATATGCTTGGAGATTCATGCATCGAAAGAACTCCACTAAACGCATATCAACTCTTTTGGCAATACCATCCTCCGGATTACAAAAGTTGGGACCAACCAGGTGATGTTTTAGCACAACCAAATTCTGAAAGAACAGAAGCGATGGCAGCTCCTCGTTCTGACTTCAAAAGAACTAACTGCGAAAACAATAGATGTTACCCAGGTTTAACGAACTGTAAACGACATTGGGCACTCACAGGAAGCTGCAACCCAGGAGATACAGAAACTGCATGTCCAATATACTTCCTTTATAATTGGCGCTGGGTCAAATCACACCTTTGGGAAGTTGGAGCTGTAACTTCTTCAATAACTGTTTATAATTCACTTTTTTCATATGAATCAGGTATTTATTCAAGATTTTGGAAAGATACTGCAGAAGAAAGAGCAGAAGGTGATGAGCGTGATAAAATACTTGGAATGTTGGATGTAACAATCATTGGTTGGGGACAGGTTGAATTAAATCTCTCTTCCAATAAAGATAAATACGAAAAGGTATTAAATCGATGGTGGTGGGTAATTCCGCATTTTGGTCCTGAATTTGGAGTATCTTATTACAGTTGTCATGATTTTGATACTCCAGATACTAACTGCAAACGAACATTTAATGAAATGACTAAAATTGATTACCAAATTGGTTTGGAATCAAATCTTTATATCACAGGAGGAGAATATGGAGATCATATACAAGATGATAATACACACAAGGGTTTCATTAAATTTAACAGGAGTTTTGATGACTGCAACATTGAGTCACATGCTGTTGGGGCTGTCCCATATAATTTTGTACCCCTTCCTCACAGAACACCATCCCCAACAACTGATGAAACAACTTAGATAACAAATAAATGAAATTCATAATTCATTTTTATTAGCGATAATGTTTACTTTTTTTAATATAAAGTATTTATGCTCTATGATATTGTAGAAGCTGTAATTTTAAAATGTGCGTTCACTAATGGGAAAATGATACATCATATATGATTCAAATCAAAAATGAGCTTGATGTCAAAATATATACATTTATTCCATTTTGCACAAAACATCCAATTCTATATCCAGTTGTGAATTATAAACCCTCACAATAATCAATATATATACCAGCAAAACATACAAGAACAAAACAACACTCAATTCAAAAATCATTTTTTTCAATAATTTTTTATAAATAAATCCATAGATACAAATCAACATAATATACAACAACTAAGTAGCTTTCAATTTAGAGATCTTATAAAAACATTTTTTTTTCAATAATTTTTTAATAAATATCACAAAGATAAATCAACATAATATACAAACACATAACAAATAAACAACGATCGATTAATAAATCTTAAAATTTTTTTAAGGGTGGCTTCCGACCAAATTGTAACTTTTTAGCCCAAGTGAGAAAATTTCGTAATTTATAACCAAGTTTTTAATAAGGGTTTCGTTTTGCGAAAAAAAACGTACAATACACAATTTCGCTAAAAAAACATTTAGCTAGCAATTTCGACCTTTGACTCCACTCAAGACGTCACTTTTTTAATTTTGCGGTATCATATTTTTGGGAAATCTTTATGAATATTATATAAAAAGTCTCTTTAATATCTATATTTCATATTTTTATCGATTTTTAAAGTTTTTGCGAAAAGTATTCAATTATTTTTGCTATTTGGTCGGGTAAATGTCAGATTTGCGACATTTTCTGATATGATATTCAGATTCTACGTTGATAATAATGCTTATAGTGTTGTAAACAGAAATTCATCAAAAGTGACACCTCAGAAAAGCTAAAATATTGAATTTTTGGAACTTTTGATAGAGCACGTTTTTAAATATTAATTAAAGTAAATGTATATTTTGTAAAGATTCTTTTTAATAAAAAAATAAAATTTTGAAGAAGAACACAAAATCTTCTGAAAAATAATATCACATAAACTCATATTATTTTCTAATATATAACTATTTTATATAAAAATCAAATTCAATGATCTTAAAAGCGAAGGATAAACCTCAAAATTTACGAATATAATGAGTGGGAATATAATGCTTATCTATCATAAAACCATATGAAATATTAATTTTTGCTTTACGCCTAATTTTTGACGACAATTAGCAAAAAATGTTAAATGTTAACACTCAGTCCATTTGAATATGAAAAATAAAATTGACTTTGATTAAATGTTTTTATTTATCATGCAATTCTTCTTGCGACCAAAGATTTGAATAAAATTTCAAAAAATAAGATAGCTTAAAAAATAATATACGGTAGTGTTTACTAATAGATGAATAGTATATAAATTCTATTAAAATGGATTTGATCCAAAAAATATAAAACCAAAAATAATTGTTATAATTTAAATGAAGAAGTAATTTAAAACGATTTTATTTATGATCAAATTTTATATATTTTTTTGGATCAAATCCATTTTAATAGAATTTATATACTATTCATCTATTAGTAAACACTACCGTATATTATTTTTTAAGCTATCTTATTTTTTGAAATTTTATTCAAATCTTTGGTCGCAAGAAGAATTGCATGATAAATAAAAACATTTAATCAAAGTCAATTTTATTTTTCATATTCAAATGGACTGAGTGTTAACATTTAACATTTTTTGCTAATTGTCGTCAAAAATTAGGCGTAAAGCAAAAATTGATATTTCATATGGTTTTATGATAGATAAGCATTATATTCCCACTCATTATATTCGTAAATTTTGAGGTTTATCCTTCGCTTTTAAGATCATTGAATTTGATTTTTATATAAAATAGTTATATATTAGAAAATAATATGAGTTTATGTGATATTATTTTTCAGAAGATTTCATTCTATATGCCTATGAAAAGTACTCTCAAAACTAACTTTTTCCTAATTATAATTAAATCTAGAATATTGTATTATGCTTAGTATTATTTCATTTTTCTCATTCAATTTAGAATTTACAAATGTCAAAAAATTGAGAGCTGTCACTTTTGATGAATTTCTGTTTATTACAAATTATGCATTATAGAGATTAAAAATCTGATTTGTGAAAACATCTCATCAGTTTCTAGCTAATTCAAAAATCTTTACTATCTTATTCGATTAAAATGAAAAGGGAATAGTTTCATTATGCTTTAAATGACAGCCTTATAATATAATCATAGTTTTCGCTCAATATGCAGCATTTTTTTTTCGAAATCTATGGTCAATATCCTAAATACTGATTGCTTTGCATTCATATCTCTTACATTTTCTATACCCACATCACTATTCATTGCTATTCCTATCTTTTTCATTTTTGTTTGTTTCTCATAATTTCTCAAAAAACATGATAACTTGATATTTGTAAATATCATACTTTATAACGTAAATAAGAACTTGACCTATTAAGAAAAGCAGTAATGAAAAGAAAATCTGAAATTCATAAAAATTACAAGTTTCTGATGACAATTAGCTTAATTAAACCAGGTACAAGATTATATAATTGTATTTTCTATCCAATTATCCATATAATATCTTATCCAGAAAAAATAACTTGATCAATACCAAATGATTTTTAACTAGTAAATAAAGTATTTTCTTTACACACACATTGTATATCATAGTTTTTTTTTTGGTTTCGCAAAGCATCCAAAAACAAATATGCTATAAAAGTGACAATTTTAGCAAAACGAAACCCTTATTTTTAAAAATCTATATTTAATAAAGATTCTATTTTTCTTATTAAATTTCAAAAATGAGGGGGTTCGGAATCGTCCACAAATTGCCGAAGAGAGAGGGTCAAAGTTGCTATTTGTCACTTTTCCACAAGAATATAATGGGGAAAAAGTTATCATATAGTTGATCTCATTCACTGAGGTGAGAGATGCATGTAGTGTAATGGTATAAAGAGTTGGATTGCTGCTCTAAGTCCTAGGTTCGAGACACATTGTCTTCATTTTTCTCTTTATTATTGACGTAAACTATTCAATTTTTGTGTTCTCCATTCAAATTTCAGAATTTTTTTTGCAGATTTCACGCTACATTCGAAGTTACCTTTTGTAACAACCACCACTGCCTACGAAAGACGAAAGTGTGTCACGATTTCACCCGGAAATCCGACGGTTGTTTAAGAGTAAGCACTTTTGGCACCTACTCAATTGCCGAAAGGGTTTTTGCCAGTTTTGAATCTGCTTATTTTTATCGACCAAAATTATAATAAATATAATTTTCGATAAGTATTCTACCCAAATGATTCTTCAAAAAATTATTTTTCGGATTTTATTCGGTAAAAAAACGTTACAGAAAACGTCTATAAAATTTCGAATTTTCCCTAAAAAATTCAGTGCAGGTCGATTTAAGAGATTTTTCAAAAATAATCATATCAGTAGATAGGGTATAATATAGAGAAGCTTTATGAATAACTTAAAATCCGGGAAACTCACTTTTGGTGTAAACATCACAAAAAATTGAGAGGGCTTTCTGGTCGGAAGTCTCCCTTAAATAATATTTTTTTATAAATAAATTCATAGATACAAATCAACATAATATACAAACACATAACAAATAAACAACGATCGATTAATAAATCTTAAATTTTTTTTTAAATAATATTTTTTTTATAAATAAATCCATAGATACAAATCAACATAATATACAACTAAACAACAAATAAACAATACTCAATACATTGAACTCCTCATGTGTCTGTTAGAAAGCACAGGCTGTACTAATTTGACTCCAGTTACGCTTTTTCCCATCTGTCTCTGATTTCCCTGGTTTGCGAAACTTTCGTCTTTTCTCGGCGGAGTGAAAATCTTCTGTATCTCTGACAGTTTGGCCGCCAAGTGTAATTCTCTGTCATTGTGCATTGCAGCTCTAGAAACAGACGCCCATGTCTTCACTAAGTCCTTGTCATTCTTTGGCTTCTGTTTCACTGCTTCGTGGAGTAAATACGAGTCAATTTTATTCATACTCTCGATACTTCTGTTCAAAGTGTCAATAACTGAGCTGGACCAATGTGTCTCCAAAGCACTGGTTATTGACGGTGCCATAATTGGGAAAATGTACTTAGCACTGTCAGTAATCAGAGGTTCAAGCGTAATCTCGGACCAAATGGAAGCAGCCGCTTCTGCGACCTTGTAGTTAGGACTGCATGCGGCTTCCGCGTATCTCGTGAACACGGGAACTCGCATTCTCTTAAATTCGCGTAATGGAATTTTTGGAAGCATAACGCTGATTTTCTTGAGGAAAATGACTAGTTTGCTGGGTCTTGTAATCGGCCAGTGGTTAACCATGAAGTCTATGACGTCGACGTAAAGATTTTTATCAGAATTACATATTTTATCGATTAAAGTAAATAATTCGTTATTAAAGTATACAAAATGCGGTGAAGCTGTCAAAGGAATTAAGAATTTCTGTAGCATGTACTTGTCTTCCTCTAAATTAAGGAGATTTGTGATGACAATTAAACAAGGAATCAAAACGTGAGGGGATATTTGCTTGCATAAGTAGTCGTTGATTTTTGATGATACGATTTTCTTGATATCGCTCTCTTTTTTCTGAATTTGGGCCCATTTGGTCACAACGTCGGCCAAAAGCTTCCTTTCGTCAAGATCTATGACCCAGAAGCGATCAATGACTCTTGTGATGTAGTCAATGGTGATTGTTTTGTCGAAAGTTACCATTTTTGATAGAATTCCATAAACAAGTGAAAGATGGGGCATTGAGCAGTCGGTAAATGTGGCAAGATCATCTGAAATTAAAAATTTCGGTTGAACTTGATCGACTGGACGAAAAACGTGGTGTTCTACGATATCTAAAATTATTTGAACGGCATCGGGGTTGAGCGTGTTATAGGATGCCTCAGTATCAACTAGTGCTGCTATTTGAGTCAAAGAATCTGTTTTTATTTGCTTTGCCTCAGCATCAAACTCTGCACAAGTAAAATCAAGAATAACATTGCATACCTGAGAGTGTTTTTGAAGTGTGTTGACAAATTCTGGATCAGATACTGCTGGTAATTTGTTTGGACGCTGGAGTTTAACATCATCGTGATGTTTTGTAGTTGTAACAGCCATTGTATTAGGAATCTCATCACCAACATCAGGAAGATCGTCAGTGCTAACCGTTTTTCTATTTGCCGATTGCTGTTGGGCTAATTCAACAGTATCTAACGGTTCTAGTTGAACATTTCGATAATTGCGGAATGCTTTCGATACAGAATCTTTTATCTGACGAGAAGGATTATAAAGACTAAGGCTGGAGTGATGCCCACTATATCTTCCTAATAATAGCATTTACAGAAAAATTTAGTGACACTTTTAGAATGAGTCTATATTATTAAGGGTATTACATGTACATGGAATTTATATCAATTTTGTCCAGATGTAAAAATATCACACAAAAAAACGAGCAAATTTTTCTGAAAAATAAATCCTCAAAAAAAGTAAATAAAAATAATAATCAAATGTCATATTAAATTTATGGGATTTTGTTTGGCAAATTCAATTTTTTTGATCGACCAATTAAGTATCTAAAGACAATTCTAATTCAATTATCTGTTTATGTTTGTTGACATCAAACCGCCAATTATAAGAATTTTGTGAGCAATTTCAAAATTCCAAGTTTTGAAATATCTCTCTCAATTTGTAAATGAGTCCACGCAATAAATATATTATTTTAATGTTAATTTTAATCTATATATTCAATGAAGAAGACGGTAAAAATTATAAAAAAAGATTGAAGATAAATTTTACGCACTTTGGGAAGGTTTTTGATGGACAAAGTTTTTGAGTTTTCTTGATGAAATATAGAACAACTTGCCATAAAAAACTGATTTTCATCAAACATATTTTGTTTCTTGCACAAATAAAATCAAAATATTTATAATTATATAGATCTTAAAATAAGAGAACGAACATTTGAATTATACCATTGGTGATAACTGAAATATATCTATCCTAAAGCTCATTATAGCAAAAATAAAATTTGAAAGTTATAATCAATATTAAGCTATTTAGACAAAGCACCAATTGAATAAATATTTCAAGCATAAATATTTCAGGTAACTACTTAATGAAAGAGCATGCTTCCTGAATCCAAGTGAACATTTCAAAGAATAATGAATGAATTTCAGATTTTGTTTGCAAGGCAAATGTGCTAATTAATATATGGATATTGATTCTGAATGAAGTATAATATCTATCAAGAGATATAAAAATTTCAATGAAGATTATTAAATATAATGATTTTAATGCTGGATTTTGCAAACACTATAGTTAAAGTCTGGCTAAGATCAATTTTACATTATCAAGTTGCAAATCATTTTCGTCAGATTTTTAAATTAAGTAAAACAACTTTATTTTGTAATAATAAACTGTGAGAGAAATATTACCAATTTGAAATATATTTTAAATTCAAAAGATCAAGGCTCAGATGACTAGATTTCAAAAAAGTTGGAAATATGATGGGCTTTTTCAAGATACATGAATAAGCATGCTGAAATAAGGTATCAATCGAAATATGATAGATATAATTAGCTATAGTAAAAACGTAGTTTAGACGAAAACTTCAGAGCGTTTGTAGATTTTCTCTGGGTCAACACTGCTCTGATCTGGAAGATCGGAGTGGAATATTGTGTTGTGGAGAATTTCCAATGGATTTGCCGCATTCTTGATTTGGCACTCTTTGAATTGGAAAGAACCGTTTATTCCTTTTCCTTGAAAGACGCAGGTGTATAAATCGCCATCCTTGATGGTTTTGAATGAGATTCCATCAAGATTTCCATCAACATTAAGGGTGCACCCTAGGGTTGTTAGATTCCCGACGATAGGTGTCTTGGAAGATTTGCCTGGTGTCATCATAGTGTCTTTAAATCAAAAATTTTATTTTGGAGTTAGTTTTATTGATTTTTCAATAAAAAACATTTCTAAAACAAGAAAAGAAAACGATAAAATATTTATATTTTATATAAGGATCTTATATATTTAAAATAAATATCATTTTATTTTTTTCATTGGTGTCTGTCAAACCATAATACACTATTCAAAAATTCAATGTGTCTTGCGGTTTCAAAAGACACCTTCAAATTGAACGATAGCACAGACACTATTGAATTTTATCCATTGTATTTAGTTTTTACCCTTTTTATTTTTAAGAATTAATGACTGAAACAGCCGTTTTGCTATGACCTCAATCACTTTTATTTATTATTTTAAATATTATTTAATTTTATTATTTGAATAGACCAACTTATATTTGAGAAGCTCAATTTGAGACCACTTAATACATTGAAATATCATAAATATTGAAATATTAAAAAGTGTATTTCAAAATATTGAAATTATAAAAATTTATAATACTGAAATTGAGACAAATTAATAAATTCAATGTGTTTTTTGAAATAACTCTCAAATATTATTTTTTTGTTTATTTAATGATGAATAAATATGATCGATTTAGTCAATCATAAAAACTAATTTAAGTTTAAAATAATGAAAGGATAATTTGATTGTTTTTTAAAATACAATTATTTTTGATGATTTGCAAGAATCTTTGAAAAGAATATAATATAGGTTCTATTTTTGTAAAACTTATCCAAATCATGTATTACATAAATTACGATTAAAACGATGAAAGAACCAAAAAGTGTGTTTTGTGTTTTGTTGTTGCGTGTTGGATGCGGGATCCTGTTATTTCCGAAATCGACAAAAAATTTGGAAATTTAATTTCCGAAATCGAAATTATATTAATGTTTTTAATATTCTTATATCAAAAGGATTAAAGTTCATTAAGAGAAAAACAATTCTTCTTCTTCAATCTATTGGCGCATTTATTTCTACACGCCAATAAGGAAGGGAAAATTATAAGACACCATGGTGTCTTCAAAACGCTAATTTTTGATATTTTTAACAACCCTAGATTTAGGAACAATGTTAAGTATCAAAAAGAAAGGAGGTCTGATATAGACAACATATATCGTTGAAGGTTGAAAAAATCTCTAATATTTGAGCCCAAAATTTCAAATTTTAATTTTTTGAAAAAAGAGGCCACCCGTATGTACGTTTATTTGAGAGGAGGATTATATTTTTGAAAGGGTGAAACATTATGAATATGTTAATTATATAATAATATGTATTATTATAAAAAAGAAAAAATAAAGCACGTTAAAATTTTTCTTTCTTGATTTTTTACAAAATCTACTTAGAATTATGCAAAATATGACTAAATAATTATAAATTTCAAGTTAAATTTTAATTTTGATAAATAATTTAAATTTCAAAATATCAAGTTCAGTTCGACGAGTAGGGGTAATTTTAGCTAAAAGTGACACACCTGTAAAAAGTGACACACCCATGAAGGGTGTGATTACCGATCGGTAATTTCGACAGTTTAGAATTTAAAATTTTTTATGGAACTGTTGCGAGTTTCATAAAGAATTTAAGGAATATAAGCAAAGATTTGAATCAAAATCTTAGACCTAAGCCGCTCGATTCGCTCGCGGCTTCCGCGAATTACAGATCAGCAAAGATTTGAATCAAAATCTTCGAACTAAGCCGATCGCTTCGCTCGCGGCTTTCTTTATTATTTTAAATTTGCATATTTCCATCAAAAGTTCATAAGGTAAAAAATTTCGTTTATTTTTACTAAGAAAAAAAAGGTTTTTGATAATAAATTTATTTTATTTCGAAAAAGTAGCAATAATCGTAAAAGGGTATTGATAGGCTTGCTAAAGTAACTAATTTTAGCTGTCAAATACTTTTGTATTTTGAAGTAAATTAGTATAAATTTGTTTTTACTTTTATTTCGAAAAAGTAGCAATAATCGTAAAAGGGTATTGATAGGCTTGCTAAAGTAACTAATTTTAGCTGTCAAATACTTTTGTATTTTGAAGTAAATTAGTATAAATTTGTTTTTACTTTTATTTCGAAAAAGTAGCAATAATCGTAAAAGGGTATTGATAGGCTTGCTAAAGTAACTAATTTTAGCTGTCAAATACTTTTGTATTTTGAAGTAAATTAGTATAAATTTGATATTATTTTAACTCCCTTTGAAAACCTCAATTTTCCATACAGAGGGAACGGGAATAGCATCCAATATTCCCTGAGAATGGTTGCGCATTCTCAGTTCCCTCTATATTTCGAACGAAGCTCTCATCGGTCTTTTTTTTAATACTAAACGTTTTTTTCCCTGTCACTTTTAGCTAAAATTTGGGTTTGCCCAGTTCGACTATGTATGTAGTAATTCCTCAATAAAGTGCCAAAAACCTATTAAAATATATGAACATTTTCAACATTTTAATGTTTTTATTTAAAAATTTGATGGAATATGAGCTTCAAACAATTATTATGTAAATAAAAATAATTAAATATATGTATTTATTCGTATTACAACCGTAGTAAGTCGATTCTTCCTTTCTTCTACTGAGGTTTGAATTTGATTTCGAATTGTAAAGAGATTCAAAGGGAAAATACTAGCGGATAAAAACTACCTCCATGAAAGGGTCATAATGGACTCAAGTTGTATTTTTTGATATTTTTTTGCTTTTCGAGCCTAAATAGGTAGCCAAGATAATGCCTAAAAATAAGGTTCTAAATTCTGAAGTTTACATGATCCTCTCGTGTGCACCCTTAAACTGTGAGGACATGCTTTGTTCGAAGTGAAATGAAGTTCAATAAAATCTATCAAAATTGAATTCTTAAAATAAACAATCGCTCGAAATTGTACTAAAAGTCGGATTATTTTCATTACTCCTAAGCGATTGAGAACAACTGAAAGTTTTGAAATAAAATATTTTCAGAGCAAAACGATATGATAACCCTGATTTTTATATTTCCATCCTCACAAACACATACTCTATTCAATAGTAAAAAATCATGATTGAGAATGTCACTTTTCTAGTGATATAAATTTCTCCACATTTTCTATACTTATGAATAGCATCCATGCATTTAGATACTTTATAAAAAGTATGGCATTCCAAACGGGAACTGCGGTTGGTTACCATGGATTTCCGTCACCGGTCACATTTTAAAGATTTTTAAAGCCTTATAAAAATATGCTTTGTAAATCATTTTTTGTAAATCGGCAAAAATTTGGTAATTTTCTTCAACTAATAAATCTGCGAATAGCATTTATAATACAAGAACAATCTTTTAAAATGCGTTTGATTCATTTTTGTATAATTTCATATAGGCACATATATTCTTCCGGGACTTTCCGTGATTTTACCGTAAAATCATTAGTTTACACCAATTTTTCCGTATTTTGAATAGTTTACTGCACTTTTTCCGTAAAATTGAGTTACGGGAATCCGCAAAATTTCCGGACCTCATTTTTCATAGAATATAATAATAATATTTGATAAAAAGATATATTATTTATATTTTTGATTTTTGAATTACGGAAAAAGTGAATTGTTAACTTGATTTTTTTATATGGTTAATTTTTCAAATGATATTATGAAGATCTAAAATATTAAAAGTAAAAAATTGAATTACGGAAAAAGTGAGGTCAAAAGTGAAATAAATTTGCAGAACAATTTTCATTGAAATAAGACATTGAGTATCACACTTTAGTGAATCAACATCTATAAGAATGAAGTGTTTTGAAGCTGAAATAATATTGAATAGAAATTAATTTTTTCTGAAATTTTGAATGAAATTATGGGAAATAAAAAAATTACTAAATATTGTATTCATACAAATATATTATTTTAAAGGAAAAATAGATGCTGATAGAAACGATGAAAAATTTTGAAAACTTTACAATTAATTAATGTTCGTTAACCACAGAGCTTGCAATCCAAAGCTCACGTTAGACTACAAAAGTCATGAAGTCTCATACTAAGGGATATACAACATATATTTTAATAATCTAATGTTTGTGACAAATATTCAACATAAAATTAAGTTTTCGTTTCGTTACAAGGCATTCATACTTTGGAGATATCATATTTAATGTACAGAAAAGTTAATATTAAACAATACATGCTAAAGAATTAATAAATAAGATAATAAAATAAATTTATACGTAATTACTTTCATTTAATATGCTTTATGCTGTATAATATTGATTAAGAGGCATTAAAAGGTTCCATAGTCTGCTTTTATAGGCAAGATTTTTGATAAAAATTTAAAATTTTGAAAAATGATGAGAAAAGGAAAAAAAAGGTAAATGAGAGCAAGAGGAGGGAAAAAAAAGAAAAAGAAAAGAAAGGGAAGGGAAAAATAAAAGAAAGAAGGACATATAAAAATTTAGATGCGCATTCTTAATGCCGAGGCGGCTTGCCGCCGAGGCGCGATTTTTTTAGGCCTCTACGGTAACCCGGCAATGTTTTTTTAAATCTTGTACAGCCCTAATAAAAAGACAATATTTCGAACGAAAACTACGATTAATTGAAAATTTGGGCGCGTAAAGGTTTGGCGTCCTAAGGCGTCCTGATGTAAACTATTCAATTTTTGAGAAGTTTACACTATAATTGAATAGTTTATGGCGTCCTGAGAGGAGATTTCAATGGGTATGGCGTCCTAAAAAATAGAAGAAAATGATTTTTTCTCGATTTTTCTAGAAATTGAATTTTTTAAAAAAGAAAAAAATCAAAACGTATACATTCAAGAAAGACTATAAATGAAGATTTTTCTATTTTTTTTCATTCTAAAACATCTTTTTTTGGATAATTTTTTTTTAATAAATATGTAAGAAAGATTGAAGAAAAAGTAAATTTACTTTAAGAAAATTCGTTTTACATGATGTAAGACCCATAACAACTATAAATATTCAATTATTTAAAATAAAAAAAGAAAAACAGATTAAATGTATCTCACATCAAAATCCATTGACCTAAGGATGTTAAGTTTCTGTT